TCGTGCCTCTGGTGCGCAACTCTTAACCTGGGCCTGATTCCAATTTCTGCAATCCACCCCTCACCTGGGTCAAGCACACTTTTAAAGTCGGCCTCCTCTGCGCCCTGAGGCCCGACCCCCCACCCCCACCCCCACCGCCGCCGCCAGTCGAGGCAGACCAGCGTGCAATGGAGGGGGAGACCAAGGGGAATCGGCGCGTGCATAGGCGACTGGGGGGCTCCCGATTAGCGGCCTAGCTAGAGATGCACCCGGGCTCCCAACCCCACAAACCCACAAACCCGTTATGCGGGTGCGTGTGTGCGCTGAGGTGTAGAGAAAGCGGGTCAGGGAGAGAAGCCGCGCAGAAGCACCCGGTCGGCGAGCCTGGACCTCCCGTCGAGGTCTCCCCTCCCAGCCTCCGTCTTGGGCTCCCGCTCTGCCGTGGGGACCCCGATATCAGCTCCAGCGCGGACACCTCTCCCTCGGAAACTAGGGCTTCGCCTTTGGGGGAGGCGGCCAGGGGCTCCCGGAACCGCTCCCTGTTGCTCCCCGAAGCCTAGGCGTCGGGGTCCGAGCTTGGGGGCGGGCGGTGCAGGCGTCGTGACTGCGCCCGCCCCGCGGCGCGGGGAGGTGCCCCAGGCGACCGCCTGCACGCCACACCCTCGGCACGGCCCTGGCCCCGCCCCCGGCCGGCGCGCGTTCCCGGCCAGGGGAGGCGTGTGCTGCTTCTGCAGCCAGCGAGAGAGGGAGAGGGATGGATATTGGAGGAGGAATTTGGGCTTAACAAGTGATCGCTGCTGTCTAGGATTTTCTTTTTCTGGGGAACCTTGACTTCCTTTCCCAATCGTGCCCACCTGTGCTGAACTCCAGAGGAACCAGAAGTGTTGGGGTCTTCCTCGGGGCAGCCCTGATCCCCACCCTGGGCTCCAGCAGCGAGGACTCTGTGCCCCCAGGCAACAGAACTTGTTCCGTGGATATTTTGCAGCTTCCACCTGCCACACCGGAGTGATTCCTTCTACCCCCAAGAACATTCTTCCCCTCCTCCAGCTGTTGCAGCTTGAGGGGAAAGACAAACCGAGCGGGGGTTTTCTTTATATTTATTTTTCACTCCGCCTGGGAACGGTGAGTATGATACCTCTCTTCTCTTTCCTCCACTCTTCTCCTTTGGCTGTTAAGAAACAGTGGACATTTGAGGGATAAATAATATTGGGGGATGTGGCAGAAGGACATGAATGGAAGGCGGTTAAAAATAAACCAGGAGGTGGAAGAAGGGAGGTGCAGATGCAGCGCGGCGCTCCGGGGGGCCAACAGTTGTTATTTTCCTAACCCCGGGGATGGGGTGCGTGCGCCCTGCTTAATGTGCCCGAGCGGGAACCTAGGTCTGGAGGGGAGGGCACGATTAAACATGTCGTTTCCCAACGAGGTGGGGTTTAGATTTAGCATCCTTTTGCCTCATCCCAGACTCACCGGTTCTGTTTCTTTGGGAACAGCTGGCGAACGGGTTAGAATTGCTGTCTCCCCCAGCATTTGGATTTGCGTGCCTTTTCCGAGCATTTCAGCAGCACATAGGGACTGTATAAATGGCGTGCGTTGAAGTGTATATTTCTCACGGTGTTGGTTTTTTGATTCAATCTCTCTCTCTCTCTCTCTCTCTCTGATAGGTTCAGGTACCACCCTCAGCCAGTTGCAGGAATTAGCACTGAGAGGGGAAAACAGCCTCCTTGTTGGGGGGTGAGAGGAGGAGGGGAGTCATGCTTGGCTGTTGTTTGGGGGGGCAAAGGGATTCGGGAATAGGTAGTCTGCTAAATCCTATTAGTTTAATGGTGTTAAAGAGGAAAGGAAATTTCCCTGCAAAGGTCTCCCCCATCAAGGCTCCTGGGAGTCGGATTGAATAGATTCAGAAACAGAACTTGGAAAGGAAGAGAGATTTTTAAATGAGTTTGGCTGTGTGGAAGGTTTTTTTTTTTTTTCCTTTTTTTTTTATTCTTTTTCTTTTCTTATTACCTTCTCCTCCTGTTCCTCCCTGCGCCTCCTCCTTCTTCTTTTTCATCATCATCATCATCTTCTTCTAGGTTAGGGATAGTGAGGTAACTGGTAGCCAATTAAAAGGAAGGTAATTTGCTTTTTGTAAGGTGGGGGAGGAAGAAAACAAACAAACAAACAACAATAAAACAATAAATAAATAAATAAATAAATAAATAAATAAATAAATAAAGTAAATAGTGTAGAGCCAGATGAGGGCAGGTCTCTATCTCCTGCAGAATTGATGGGATATCGGAAGACCTACTAATTCATGACCTTCTGGGAGTCAATTAGTTGGGAGAGGGGTGTGCGTAGTACACAAATATACAGGCACTTTGGTTCTATTGGGGTTTTATTTAAATAGTGTATTGTAACGGCTTTGAGGGAGTTGGGAAAGAAACTGAGCAAACTCTCAGGCTCTTCGGCCTGTGAAAGTCTTTAAAAGGTGGTGGCCTGACCTTCCAGAATAAATGTAACCCCAGGGTAGTTTTGTAAGTAGAGATTTGGAGACCTTCTGAGGGTAAACATTTCAGAGTATTTGATGATGTTAGGAGTCAGGCAAAGGAAGGGGCTTGTCATTTGAGATACCTTCAGAAGTGTATTTTCTGGGTTTTATGTGTCCCAATAAAGCTCACTTCTTGCCCTAGGAGAGTGTGAGATGAGTGGGAAGCCCTCTGTTTGTCCCTTCTCTGCTTTGTCACTTCATAAAACTCTGGTAGGTTTAGGCTTCTAGCCTGACAGGATTCAGCAAGAAGCAGCAGGTGGTCAGGAGCTGAATCCTGTTCATAGCTCCAGAAAGCCATTTCTCTTGCTTCCCAAGTGCTTCCAGTAACAGAACCTGGTAGATGCTCTGGATTCTGACTGGCATTATCCTCCCCAAGTCTCTGGGCTACTGTCTGCATTCTTGGAAGTCCTGTTGGACACAGTGAATGCAAAAGCATAGGAGACAGGAGATTGGGGCAGTTTTTACAGGTCTTGGCTGAGGAAATGAATTAGCCTGACCTAGAGAGAGCCAACTGAGAAGAAAGGCCAGGATTACCAAGTGACGGTGGAGCCAGATTGGGGCTGCAAGGAAGACATGATCAGCAAGTGGGCACGTTGGAGACAAAGGTGGGCAGAGAGAGCCAGGGAGAGGCAGAGGGAGTTGGGAGATGGGAGATCATGGATGAAATTATGGGGGGAAGTATGACAGGCTGAAAATGAAGTCCACACAAACTGGGATTTAAAACATAAGGAAATAGTCTCTTGAGAAGAGTGTAGGAGGAAGCATTGAGGTGAACACGGAGGAAGCAGCAAGGAGAGAAGATGATTATCAGAGAAGTGGAAACTGGGATTAGCTCCTAGGCTGTGGGTGGTAGAGAGTGTTCTGGAGTCTGGGGAACAGAAAAACAACAACAGGGACATGCTTCAGGGAGTCAAGAAGTGCCAACTTAATACAGGCCATTGATGAGTCTCAAAATGTTTTGGATGTCCTCACATTCTGTCCTCCCCTAATTCAGACAGTATGGTATAAGGACATATACATCTGGGGGTGTGTAGATAGATGATAAAAGCTTAGGTTACCGTCCAGTGTGTATTGATATTCATTATGTCAGTGCTATTCTATCAACATTCATTGTCTCATTCAAACTTTACAAAGTGGGATGGAGGAGGTTGTATTATGACCCACACTTCATAGATGAGATGATTGAATCTTGTGGAAGTGATGGAGCCTGGATTAAAGAGAACTGGTTTTTCCAACTGCTCTAATCCTGAATCAAGACAGAAAGGGGTGGAAAGGCACTAAATTCAGAAATATTTGATGAGTGGAAATTTTAAAAACTGCCTTGAGATCACTGAATGATGGAAGCAGCTATAAAGTGACAGCATTATTGTTGTGACATGAAGAAAATGACAGCGAGAATTAAGACCTGGCATGAGTGAAAGGGAGAGCTGAAGGAAGAGCCATGTGGGTCGAGAGTGGAGAGAAGAAAAATAATTGAGTTGCCGTGAAAATAGACTGAGCCGAAATAATAACCAAAGAAGAAGGGATGGTTTAGTGAGGGAGGAGATTTAACAACCTGCCCCATTCTCCTTGGAAATTTGTGGCCCCTTGGTGCTTTATATGGTTTGCTTGAGGACAAGAAAAAGAAGTGTATGGGAAGGAAACGCTGTTTGCTCTTTATGATTTGATTCTTCTTTTTATTTTTCTTCTATGCTTATTTCCCTTCCTTTTTCAGGTGAAGTACTTCTTCTGCATGATTTTAGCTGAAGGATGCTCTGCATTTCCTTGATTTCTATGGAGACCTCAGAGCTGGGTTTGCTCCTGCTGACACCTCATCTTGTACCTTCTCTACCTCCCAAGGTCTTTGCCTCTCTCAATAGCTTGGCATTGCCCCTGGGTCCAGGAAGCCTATGATGAACTTAAGGGGAGCACCTGGAGAATCATCCTGATAGGCTTTGAGCAGCAATGGCTGGACATACTTCAAGCCACATGTTAACATGGGTCAAGCCATCACTAGAAGGCAAGTGCTAAGACTAAAGGCTTATTTGCATTTTATTTAAATTTGATGGACTGAGCTTTGGACAATTTCCATGGCAGAAAAATATATTCCATTTTCTAGGCACAACTGCTGGCTGTCAGACACTTGCTGCCTTTGAATCTTGCAGCATCATCACCAACCACCCTAGACGTATTTCCAAATTTGAACAGCCACCCTGAAACAGGTGTTTGGGAGACCCCAACATTTTCTGACTTAGGCCTGAGAGTGCTAGGTTGTTTATCTAGACCAGCCAAGCTCCGGAGAGCAATGTTGAATCCCTGGGAACAGAGAGCATGGGGCGTGCTGATTTAAAAACAGAAAATGCAAAGTTGGACTGAAAATATCCTTAGTCTTCCAAGCAATCTGCTTAAGGGTTCCAAACTTACCTTCATTTGGTGACAAAAGAAGCTGCCCTATTTTTCTTTCTTCTTCTTCTTCTTCTACAACTGGAACCAGCCATTTCCAAAAACCACCACCATGGAGGTTGCAATGGTGAGTGCGGAGAGCTCAGGGTGCAACAGTCACATGCCTTATGGTTACGCGGCCCAGGCTAGGGCACGGGAGCGGGAGAGGCTTGCTCACTCGAGGGCAGCTGCGGCAGCCGCCGTGGCAGCTGCCACAGCTGCTGTGGAGGGCAGTGGGGGTTCTGGAGGGAGCTCCCACCACCACCACCAGTCGCGTGGGGCCTGCACCTCCCATGACCCTCAGGGCAGCCGGGGTAGTCGGAGGAGGAGGCGCCAGCGGCCTGAGAAGAGGAGAGTCCACCACCGCCAGAGCAGCTTTCCTCATTGCTCCGACCTGATGCCCAGTGGCTCTGAGGAGAAGATTCTGAGGGAACTGAGTGAGGAAGAGGAAGAGGAGGAGGAGGAGGAGGAGGAGGAGGAAGAGGAAGGAAGGTTTTACTATAGTGAGGATGACCATGGTGATGAATGTTCCTACACGGACCTGCTGCCCCAGGATGACGGGGGCGGCGGTGGCTATAGTTCAGTCCGCTACAGTGACTGTTGTGAACGTGTGGTGATAAATGTGTCGGGCCTGCGCTTTGAGACCCAGATGAAGACTCTGGCCCAGTTTCCAGAGACTTTGTTGGGAGACCCTGAGAAGAGGACTCAGTACTTTGACCCTTTGCGTAATGAGTATTTTTTTGACAGAAACAGGCCTAGCTTTGATGCCATCTTATATTATTACCAATCAGGAGGCCGCCTCAAGAGGCCAGTCAATGTCCCCTTTGATATCTTCACTGAGGAGGTGAAGTTCTATCAGTTGGGAGAGGAGGCCCTGCTCAAGTTTCGGGAGGACGAGGGCTTTGTGAGAGAAGAGGAGGACAGGGCCTTGCCAGAGAATGAATTTAAAAAGCAGATTTGGCTTCTGTTTGAGTATCCGGAGAGTTCCAGTCCAGCAAGGGGCATAGCCATCGTCTCGGTCCTGGTCATCTTAATCTCCATTGTCATTTTCTGCTTGGAAACTTTACCTGAGTTTAGGGACGACAGGGATCTCATCATGGCACTGAGTGCAGGCGGGCACAGTGGGTTGTTGAATGACACCTCGGCACCCCACCTAGAGAACTCAGGGCACACCATCTTCAACGACCCCTTCTTCATCGTGGAGACAGTCTGTATTGTTTGGTTTTCCTTCGAGTTTGTGGTTCGCTGCTTTGCTTGTCCCAGCCAAGCACTCTTCTTCAAAAACATCATGAACATCATTGACATTGTATCCATTTTGCCTTACTTCATCACCCTGGGCACTGATCTGGCCCAGCAGCAGGGGGGTGGCAACGGTCAGCAGCAGCAGGCCATGTCCTTTGCTATCCTCAGGATCATCCGTCTGGTCCGAGTATTCCGGATCTTCAAACTCTCCAGGCATTCCAAAGGCCTGCAGATCCTGGGCCACACCCTCAGAGCCAGCATGCGGGAGCTGGGACTTCTGATCTTCTTCCTCTTCATTGGGGTCATCCTGTTTTCCAGTGCTGTGTATTTCGCAGAGGCAGATGAACCTACCACCCATTTCCAAAGCATCCCAGATGCGTTTTGGTGGGCCGTGGTGACCATGACAACTGTGGGCTATGGGGACATGAAGCCCATCACTGTGGGGGGCAAGATCGTGGGGTCCCTGTGTGCCATTGCAGGTGTCTTAACCATTGCTTTGCCAGTGCCAGTGATTGTCTCTAACTTTAACTATTTCTACCACAGAGAGACTGAGAATGAGGAACAGACACAGCTGACACAGAACGCAGTCAGTTGCCCATACCTCCCTTCTAATTTGCTGAAGAAATTCCGGAGCTCTACTTCTTCTTCCCTGGGGGACAAGTCAGAGTATCTAGAGATGGAAGAAGGAGTTAAGGAATCTCTCTGTGCAAAGGAGGAGAAGTGTCAGGGAAAGGGGGACGACAGTGAGACAGATAAAAACAACTGTTCTAATGCGAAGGCTGTGGAGACTGATGTGTGAATCTTGTTCTCCACCTGCCACTGCCTCCCCCCACCCCCAGCCCCAGTATCTCCAAATATATTTATGCATAGAGAGTGGAGTTATGAAAATGAAATATGCAAACGAATCTAATGCATATAGTAGTACACCATTTAATGGTTATACGTGACATAATTGTTACTCAACTTGTATTACATATCAAATAAATGATACATCTTGGAGAAGAGGGAGGCTAAAATAGGAGCAAATCTTATCTTTATATTTTTTATTAGAATGCAAGAATTTTGCACACTAACTGGAAAAGATGTTAAAAGTAAAGGTGGTTCTGTGGAGAGAAGGTATATGTGTGTTTGTGTGTGTGTGTGTGTGTGTGTGTGTGCACGCGCACACGTGCTGCGTGCATGTATGTGCAAGTAAATTGTCAACATTGTTAGTAATTGTGCAGTGATGGGAAGAGTTGGCATTTTGAAGTATTTACTATGTAAGAACTAATGAATTTGAGCAGTCATTTATCAGTGCTCTGATAGCATCTCATGTCTTTGGATTCCATAGTTGTTTTTTAAAAATTGTAAGAATTACTGTGTAGGGGAAAAAAAAAAGGAAAGTGAATTATTTAATAGAATATAGGTCACAGTTTTATCTTGGATTTAATTAAAGTTTATTTTTAACTGGAAATTAACTTTTAAAAAGGCTTCAGGGGCCTTTAGAAATTGATTATATTTTATTATTAATTTGGGGGAAGATATGACAGCAAATGCCTAACAATAATGGAAGAAGTGAAATCGGAGAAAATGTAACAAGTTTTGTTCACAGATAACAGGACTGGAATTTTTTTTTTTTCCTTTGCACTACTTTATATGATGGAGATTGAGAGAGACTTCCTACTGTGAGTGTTTACTAATGTAACAGTTCAGTGACAATCATTGGAAGAATGATTTCTTAGTCTTATTTTATGTTCTCTTCTTTTCTTTGTGTGAGACTAATGGCCATGCAGATAACAGCACATGGTTCCCTTCTTTTAAAATCTAAATAACTGATCTGCAAAGGGACTCTGAAGTAAAATTTAGCAACGGAATCTTTTAGAAATTGGACTGTGACAATGATGCTTCTGAAACCATACTATTTTAATTATTCTTCTGCCTTTTAAATGCGGGATAATTTAACCAAAGTTAATGCATGCACTGAAAGAATTCTTGAAGAAAATAAGATGCCCAGCAGCTACAGTGATTATGGCTTAAGAGCTTTCTATTAAATGTGCAACGTAAATGCTAGATTTATTAAGTTTATTTCTTTGTGCAGCTGCATAAAGGCACAGGGTGGGGATTCACCTCAGAATTTAGCATTCCACTTGCTAAAAATGATACAAAGAAGGATTGTGTCAAAACATTTGGTTTCAATATCACCATCGCTATCAGTTTTGTAAAGGGAACTTGTGACACATGTAACTGCACTTAAATCATGACAAGATGTTCTAGAATGTGAGGTAACAGCTAGTAATCGGACTTACACTAGTAAGTCATAATGAGATATAGAGTAGCAAATTTAGAATGCATAAGAGGCCTTATTCTCTAATGTTTCTTCAACATCTATTCTTTATAAAATGGTTGTCCTGAGGTTTGGGAAAAATATACTATGTAGCACGTAATGAACTCTGACAACTGTGAATTAAAAAAAAAGAAAAAAGAAAGGAAGAAAAGAATGATCAAGAATAGCTTTTCTCAAGCTTTTAAATCCCAGGCCATCATTTGATAATAACATAAATCTTTAATGATATTTGAAATTCAAAATAAATCCATGTTAGATTTAAAAGCAAAGCTACACCCTTCTCCCCACTCCATCCCCACCAGTTAAAGAAAAATACCTTTCAAGAATACCTGTTGGAGAATGAAAGGCAGTAAGCGGGGGAGTTGATTGAATGTTCTGACCAAAGATCTCCAGTAGACAATAGTGAATGATAAAACAAGGATATGCAATCTTGTAATAAGATTTCAAATATGTCATTTTAATATATTTTGGATTTGAAGCAAAAATATAACAAACAGACTAGGAGTAAGGCTATCTGGGTTGGTCACTATTCATTTGAAAAAGTCACCATTAATCTCCACACCCCAATTTCCTCATTAGTAAAAAAAAAAAAAAAAAAAAAAAAAAAAAAAAAAAAAAGGGCACATAAAGGCTTTCGTTACTTCATAGAATTGTTATGGAAAGCAAATAGCATGTGATAACTCAGAAATGCCTAGTTCCATATAAATGCCTGATGTTATGTCCACATTGCTTAATCTTCCTCTGGAAAGAGAAGAATTAGAACCCCTGTGTTATGGGGCACCAGGGTGGCTCAGTCCGCTGAGCTTGGGACCTTGGCACAGGCCATGATTTCCTGGTGCCTGAGTTCAGGCCCCTCATGGACTCACTGATGTCAGTGAGGAACCTGCTTTGGATCCTCTGTCCTCTCTCTGCTCCTCCCCCACTTGTGCTCTCTCAAAAATAAACAAACATTAAACAAAAGTTATAAAAAAAAAAAAAAAAAAAAAAAAAAAAAAAAAAAAGAACCCAGGAGTTACATCTGCTTTATTAGGATGTCGTGAAAATCATGGGTAATTTCTTTAATTTTGAGCTCCTTACAGGAAGTGGATATGCAGACACAAGATAGCCTCTCATTGAATAATTGCTACAGTTTCTTCACTTGGGGGAAAGAAAGATCCCGGGCATGTCCTGGTGTAAAAAAGTTGACTCTGTGAGTGAGGTACCATGTATCTTTTTCTGTACCCAACTAGGTCAGATTATATTTTAGATAATTTAAATGCTATCCAGCATTGGATGTTTATTGAACATTCAATAATCCCAATGGCAATGATTTGGCTATGCTTGGAAGGGAAAAGGTATTACATTTCTACCACAGCTCCTTTTTAAAGCTGAAAGTTATAATAAATTTAGCCGATACGTATTAGATTTGATAATTCTGTGAATTCAAGAAATATAGTCCTTTTGGGATCCTGGGATTTTCCTGTATCTTACATAGTTTTTTTTAAGTGTAATACAGACGAGAAGTGACAGCCATGGGCTTCCAAAGCAAATATTAGGTTATCACTACATGTATGTGTGTTGGTTTGCATTTTCTTTCAAGATGCATTTATTTTAGGATGTCTGAATCTTGATTCCACACTAAGAAGAAAGCATGCAAGCCCTCAAGATTTGTCTAGGGCACTTTTGTATGGAACACTTCTCTTGTAGAGAATGTGTGAAGGTAGAGAAAGTGTCAATTGCAGCTGTGAATGTATAACATTTTTCCAAGTTAAAGCTAGCTAAGCAAGGTGCTTTAGTACCATTTGTAAAAATTTTATCTACTGAGTAATATGCTTTCAGAAGCTATTTGTAACTGACATTTAGGAAACTCTCCTCTCAGAGGCCACCACACACATTTGGCTGTAAGATAAAAGAGAAGTGGCCCCATTTAGAGATTTGAATTTTGGGAACCTCGGATCCTCTAGTTGCTTTTCAGATGATAATGTTACCAGAAGTACAATATTTGAAGATCATCCTAACCAGAGTTTTTTCAAGGGTGGATACATTGTTCTCTCTTTTAAATGTTTGAAAGGGAAACAGTTATGCAGACCAGTTATGGAGAAAAGAGGACTAAATACTCCTTTCAATTTCTGCAAAATAGAGCTTTTGGGTGCCAAAGGAATGATGGATGGTCTGGGAGTGGAGAGATGGCTCGTTGACATTGACACATCATTTCATCTTGACTCTCAGGTGTTTTGTTTTGTTTTGTTTTGTTTTGTTTTGTTTTGTTTTTAAGTGTACAACCAGGCTGTTGTGCTACATTATCGCTTGATTCCTTTTAGCACCAAAATTCTCTGGAGTGGAAGGAAGTTATTAGACTAGCTGGATATTTTCTAAGTATTCAAATCATATTGGTCTTGATATCATAGGTAATAAGAGCAAAAACAGTTTAAAAATCTCACTGTTGGGTTAAATAGAGAACCAGAGATTTTGAGATTGAGTTTTTAGAATGTAAATGAAACTGAATGAATAGGGTGTATTTTGAAGCTCTTTATTCTAACAACGAAAGGGAAGGGATTCCCTTAATAAAAAATAACTCAGTCTCCAGTTGAATACATGTGAAAGTTGGTAAGTAAACATTTTGATTTCTTGCTTTGTTATAGTACAGTCTTGTCAGTAAACGAGTGTTCCGACCTATGCTGGGGAACTCATTTTATGCCTAAGCACATGTAGTATTTCACAAGTGTCACTGCTTTCCTTGTCAAATTAGTTTTGTTTTTAATGTTTATTTATTTTTGAGAAAGAGAGACAGAGCATGAACAGGTGAGGGGTTACAGGGAGTGGGAGACACAGAATCCAAAGCAGGCTCCAGGCTCTGAGCTGTCAGCACAGAGCCTGATGTGGGGCTCGAACTCACAAACCCCGAGATCATGACCTGAGCTGAAGTCGGACACTTAACTGTCTGAGCCACCCAGGTGCCCCAGCTTGTCAAATTAGTTTTAAACAGGATCAATGAAGGTTTGTGAAAATGTTTTCATAAAACATCTGTTGAAATAGAATCCAATCTATGCATAAGAAATAACTATGGAAAATACTTTTGAGTTCAGATATATATCCAGTTTTTAGAAAGTCAACATTAGCCAGTAGAAAGTTATTTTTAATTGCACTGGAATCATAAACAGTAGTATCTCCACATCTCAACAGAATCAGAAATGGTGTTCTCTGTTGTTGATTTTGAGGATTGTGATGCACCTTTAGCCACCACATCGCAGCTGTTCCTAGGTAAAGTGGCAAATACACCTAGGTTGGTTTTACAGTTTTTGGTGAGCATGTGATGTGCTCATGTGCATGATGCAGAGTGTAACATCCCTCTTTATGTGTGTGTGTGTGTGTTTTTTTTTTTTATTGATACAGTATAGAATGATTACGGGTTGTCATTCAGTGGCAAAGGGGCCTGTTCCAGGAAATCTTCCTGACCCAAAAGTCATTCTGAATTCGGCAAGGGACATTTGGTGTGG